GTGAAATCGCTACGTTTGCGGGAACGTGCAACTGCAACCCATAGCGATTCTGGTCGCTTGCGACAAGTTGCAAGAAATCAAACTTGATTTTGAGCGACTCGTCGCTCCCAATCGCTCCCAAATTGTTCTAGAATTGCTTCGAAATCGCACGTGTGCGCACACGCGGTGACACGTCGACCGATCGCTTGCGGTTGCTGGTTGCAGCGACGAGCAACTTATAGATCAGCGCGTTAATTTTACATAAATCAACCGAGAATAAACTTGACGCGAGTTTGCTGGAATACTTTTATACTAGTAAGCGCAAGCAATGCATACGGGGCTTACAGCGTCTTCTGCGACGTTTTGCTCTCTAAGGTTACATCGCAGACGCATTCGGCTCTACTGCCCTTGCATACTACGGAGGAGGCTTGTGTCTTGCCGTCGGCGGACTCGTCGTAGTTCCGCTGCCATATCTGCGCAGTCACGGCGTCAAGGTCGAAGCAGCGCCAAATCATCTCGCTAATGATTACAGCAAGATAGCTCCAGGCATTGAACTAATGGTATATATACCGATGGCGTAACGCGGTTACGCCAAGGACCACACCTTTGTCACGCTGTCACACCACCTGCATCCTACCTACTGCGTCCCTACATCTGATCCCTACATGCATCCTCCCGATGATTGACTTGTCGATCTGATCGTAATCCTTTCGCTTATTTGTGTATTTTTCTACCGGAGTATACGTCAACTAGTGTTATCAAGAGTAGATAAATAACTATTATATTATGTTATTTATCTACTCTTGGTGTTATGTATGAGTCGAGAGTGGAGATAAAACGGATGTTAGGTATAACCAAAGATATAAAAGAGTATCTATGTTTGTCATGTTGGTAACGTTTTATAGCGCAATGAGCACAACCCCTGTGTTCATGTGTCCTTGGTGTATCCTGTAGTATATGGCCGCGCGATATTTATAGTATACGATACCGTATCTAAGTTTAGATGACGTCTGATATATTTTTGTCGGCCGTAAAAGTAGCGGATTTTATGACAGCGATGGATAATTTGAGTTCTAAGACACGACTTCCTGTACATATGATCATGAATCATAAATATATTTTGTGTTATATAAGGTTTATGGACTCCCGATAGTATATATACTACCAGTTCCGTTCATCGCTAATTTATGTGTTTCAGGAACAGTCCGTGGCATGCTGAGCTCTGATGCCGCCATGCTAGAGGTGTGACGGATAAACATCAGTAATTTCAAGGTCACTTTCGAAACCGACATCTATATTTAGCTACTACAAGACGCAGCCTTGTAAACAAGCATGGAATTTGCTGCCAGCTAACTCCTTAATCCCAGCTGACAGCACGGATGCACACTATTCTGTGAACGCGCGTAGAGTGAAAAGTGAAAGCGCGCAGTCAGCGCCGGTTAGGACGCATCGTGTAAATAGGCCTTAATTACCGGGGAAAAGTCCCTAACCCGAGACGGCGGAGATCGGGCAGAGGGTAATGTAGTAAGGGAGGGGCGGGGATGGGGAATGGCAGGGAACGGGAGGGAAGGGAGTATAGTAAGAGAGGGAAGGGCAGGGATTGTGATAGTGAAAGGAACGGGAGGGGTATTGTAGTAATTAAGGGAGCGGCGGGGATGGGGAATGGCAGGGGACGGGAAGGAAGGGAGTATAATATATATGTAATAGTGTATAGTGTATATAATATATGTGATAGTGAAAGGAGAAGGGGTGGTGTTGTAGGGGATGGAAATGGGGTGTGTCTGTGGTAGGGGAGGGGTATGGTAGGGAAGGGTCAGGTGACGAGGTGTGGTAGGGGAGGGAAGGGTCAGGCGAGGAGGTGTGGTAGGGGAGGAGCGGGGGGGAGGATATGGTTGGTAGGAGAGGAGAGGGAGGTCTGGTAGGGGAGGGGCGGGGCGGGGGACGGTGTGGTAGGGGAGGAGAGGGTAGGAGGAGGCACGGTGGGGGAAGCCGGGATACACGTCACGATCTTGCATCGCCATTCTGTCGCCTGAGATACGCCGGCAGAACCTTGATGTATGTATGACCCACGACAATCGCTCACTCTAGACGATAATCTTTCAATCGACGTCCGAACCAGTCATCCAAGCTAGCTCTTATATGCTTATAATATGGATATTGGCGGTTGCCGGACTATCAAAACCTGTGATAGTGACTATATAACTGAC